TGTGTAGGGCTATCAACTTGATCAGTTTGATATGCAATGCCAAAGTGAGAGGAATATGAGAGACCACGAGTTACACGAACCTCAATAAAAGTGGCATACATTTCAATAAGAGATTGTGAACTCCCCATATGAGCATCAACCATCATAGAAACATCATAATCGTTTGAAAGCTGAAATGATGTATACGTGAGCGGAAAAAGTTCAGTAGGAAATCTGTATTGAAGTGAAGATAGTCTTCTCTGGCCTGCTACACGAATCTTTAACGAAATTTTTGTGATTAACTCTCAATTGTGATGTTTCTCTTCAAGGTTAAGGGGATATATGATCTGACTCAAAAACAACCCCTCTTCAGCTTCCTTAATTCTCCATCATAAAACAACAGCAGAAAGACGACTCATTTTCAGAGAATTTGAGAATTTAGAGTTGGGAATTTGAGAATTTGAAAGATTGTGAACTGAAGTTTGTTTTGAAAGTTTATAATACGTTGCATATAATAGTTTCTATAATCGGTTCACTATTCACGTGAAGGCGCGTTCCCGGGGGCGCGCCTTCCATTATTTCGTCAGAGAATATTATCATTGCCCTATTATGTCATTCATGTCCCTCGGGGACACTAGATATATCAGTACCTATTATTTCACTATTCACGTGAAGGCGCGTTCCCGGGGGCGCGCCTTCCATTATTTCGTCAGAGAATATATCATTGCCCTATTATGTCATCATGTCCTCGGGGACACTAGATATATCAGTACCTATTATTTCACTTCACGTGAAGGCGCGTTCCCGGGGGCGCGCCTTCCATTATTTCGTCAGAGAATATTATCATTGCCCTATTATTTTAAATTTCGAATAATATAATTTGTATTTTAAAAACATTTATCAAACATTTAATGTTAAATGTGAATAAAAAATAACATAAAAAAATATGTATGTAACAACCATGAAACATTTAAATAACATAACCAAATTACATAAAATTCTGAAATTTAATTATTTAAATAACATTAAATATAACTGGATCACCGATGTCGTCGTCTCGAATGAGTTCCACATGGCGGTGGTTGCCTATTTCGTGGAGGATTTATGACATTTAATGGAAGGCGCGTCCCGGGGATGCGCCTTCCACACGTGTCTGCTGATATGGCAAAGGCGCGTCCCCGGGGACGCGCCTTTCACACGTGGCATCCAACTCAGCGAAAACACGGGTAAAGCGCGTCCCCGGGGACGCGCCTTTGCCAACTCAGCAGAAAGGATGCTAGTTTTGGAAATATTGGTCGAACGGTGTTAGAAAAGTAAAAATAAAAATAAACGGTGTCAGTGGGGTAAAAAAGCCGCCAAATCCACTGATTTCAAATCAGAAGAAAATAATCCGTTTCTCATGAGCAAATTTGATTTAATCTGAGTCGCATGGAGTTAACTCGTTGCACTTCCTGCTTGCAATATTCTCCCACGCTCATCCCTCCAGCATTGCGCCACCAAACCACTCCGAAGCCCAACTTCAGAACGATCTTTAGCACCAATGCAACCGTATCAACGACAAGATTGGTGGTTAAAGCACGCGGAGGAGGAGGAGGAGGAGGAGCGGCTGAGGCCGAAACTGCAGTGGTTAAGAATCCCAAGGTGATAAAGAGATTTCAGGTGTCGGGAGGGCCATCCCGCTCCATTTGGTGCCACTCTTCCAGATGGACGTGTCAATTTTAGGGTTTAGTTATCACTAGTACGATAAACTTTGAAACTTTTAGGTGGCTCCTTTGATCGTTGAACCGTAGCCAAGCTGTTAAAATGTAATAGTGTTTTCCCGACATGGTTGTACCATATCTTTCATTTTGATTCTCATCAAATCTGAAGTTTTTAATTGTTTAGCCATGCTGTATTAATATTGACTTGTCTATACATATCTATTGTTATCTTCTGCACGAAGAAAAGCTAGCGGTTAGAGTGCGTTTGGTTCAGGGTATCTTATATTACTCGGGAAATGAAATGTCATTCTCCTGTTTGGTTGACAAACATTTTCAATCATCGGTAATAAGTTATTCCCAACAGTGGTATTTTGAGGGTATATTATCGGGAATGTGATTACACATTTCTTTCGATATTGTTACATTTCCGGCGTTTTAGATTAAAATGCCGTTAATTTTTTTTCCAAAAATATCATTCTTCTGTCGTTGAATAAAAAAATTCTACAAATATTAAATTACAAATTTATTCTTAAATTATTTTAGATTTACAAAAAAAAATCCATAATTAGAATTTTATATGAAGTTCATGGGTTAAAATAAAATTTTACCCTTTTATTAAATATATTTATCTTTTTCAATTTTGTAAAAATAATTAAATAATTTTATAAATTTAATTTTTTTAAAGAAAATATATAAATTAATTATAGTAATATTATAGTAGAATTCAACTTGTTAAATAAAACAAATAGATAATTTGATAAAATATATATTCCAATAATCTTTTAAACTTTAACTAAATCCTAAACGAACCAAAACACATAATACAACTTTCCAGTAATCTTATTCACGCTGGTAATTCTGCTCCCATCAGTAATTTTACATTACGTGAGCCAAACGTACCCTAATAGTAACAACCAAAAGGAGCCTTGTTATCTTTTTGCAGTTGCGCAAGTTCATGGGTTGTTTCATTTTAGAATTAGCCGCTAAAAGAATGGGCTGTTTCTGATCTTTGTTTTTGGTGATTAACTTGGATAAAATGGTTGTTTTCGCATCCAGAATAAAGTTACTGAGAAGATACCACTTGATCCATCGACTAATAAGACTGGAGATGTCTGGCATGTGTTTTTATAAGGGGATTGTAAAGATATGCTATATGGCTACATGTTTGACGGGGAATTTTCTCGTGAAAAAAGGTCATTTCTATGATGCTTCCAAGGTTCTGTTGGATCCATACGCAAAGGTAACATAGGGCATTTTTTCACTTTTACTCGGTGGTGTTTGCGCTTTTATTTGCTAGGATAAGGAATATACTATTTAGTGCAAGACACGAGTAAGGCGGTCTCATCTCTAGCTGACTATTTTGACTGGAATTAGGTTACTCTATTTTAGAGCCTCGCTTGCTATAGAACCTGTTACTGAATGGACCAGTTTTAATGAAATGTGATAAAAAAATGTAAAAATAGTTAGGACCGCAATTTCATTACTTCAAATTTCTAGGCCATATGCTACATGAGGATGTTAACCTGCATGATTTAACCATAATTGCATATTACAAGAAGATATGTAGATGTATAGAACATGCTGGACAATGTTTTGGGTTTATTCTTAAAATAGGCAAGTTCGGAGAAAAGCATGGGTCGGGGTTACTACTCATGTTCTCTGATACTTCAATGAAATTCTCACTTTGACCCTTTAATTATTTTTTCGATGAGTCTGTGCCCTTCAACTTTAATTCTGTTAGAAGCTGGATGTGATCTGTTAAAAGAAGCCCATGGTCCAATCTTATGTCCGTGGAATGTAAATCTCAATTGAGTCTTAGGTATACTCTGACCTAAACTGACTAAACTATTTTTGTACCAAAGAAAATAAAAGATTGCCGGTGACATTTTTGTTAAAAATGCACAGTAGCACGTTCAAGAACTTTATATTTTATGATGTTTTAGCCCATCTCCTTGATTCCCTGGATGCTGTCTTCAGTGCGTTCTCGCTTTCAAAATCTTAGAACACAATTTGGAGCTTGTATACAAAAACTACCCATACGAAACTCGATCAAGGTATTTGATCCTAAACTTCGTAACCCTTTAAAATAATTGAAAAGGGCAATCAACTATTTCCATGGTTTAAAATTTAATATCATAGTTGGTGCTTATATTTTAATAAAATAGTAAATATAACCTATACAATATATATGAATACACTTTTAAAATTATCTTATAGTTTTTTTATATAAGAAATGAAAGGAATTACTCAAAATAAAACCTTAAATCTAACATCGAATAAAATTAAAATAATGTTAATTGATGATACACCACCTACTTAGTAGATGTTTAATTTGCTCTTGTAACATTTTTTTACTATAATTTTATAAAAGTATAAACTTAAAATTATATATAGGCAATTTTGTTTAGATGATGTGTTGAAAAAATACATTTTTTTATAAGGGGTGACATATATTTTATTTATTCAAATGGAATGAGTGTAATACATTTGGGAAAGACGTTTGGATCATTTGATGTCTTCGATGGACAATGTTGAAAAGATACAATATCTTTCTATATATTTATTTGATGAATACATCAGATATTTCAAACATCTTCATAAAGACATCGGATGATCTAAACATTTATAATATTTTATTATAAATGCAACCCTATTTAAAAATAAAATCCGATAAATTTTACTTAATTTTTTTTCAGTTTCCTACTTGAATGATTTTACCAAATATATACCTATGCAAATTCCAACTCAAAGCTGCCTGGGTGTGATTAGGGATGGGCATGGGAACTTAACCCGCCGGTTCCGACTCGATCCAACTCGATCAAGTCAAACTTTTTTAAAAAAATATGGTTTGAGTCCGATCGAATTCGGATTTAGGTTGAAAAATATCCGATCCGAAAAAATATAATTTTACTTTATATTTAGGAATAATTATAATACCCTCTATATATTACTTTTTTCAATTAAATCACTTTTTTATTAAATAAAAATAATATTTTTTATTATTTAAGGTCGAAGTTAGATCAAATTCAATTTTATCTCAAAAAATTAGATTAGATTCGAATCGCGTTGAGGGTATATATTTTTCGAATTGATTTGGGTGAAATATATAAAATTTTCGGATAGGTTGGATTGACCAAAACCCGACCCATTGCCATCCTAACCGTGTGATAAATCAAAAACATTTGCGATTACAAATATTAATCAACATCATTTTATGTCAAAAACTTTCATTCCATAAGGCTCAAAGAGGAAAGTCGAGTTCTACTGTTTTTCTTTTTAAGAAATTAAAAGGAAAATAATAAAGTAAAGAAGGTACTACTAAATTCTGCAGATTTCTCTAGAGACTGTCAGAAATTTCTTCATCCCTCGTTTAAATTCTCTCACATATTGCAATCCCACCAATTTCTCCACAACAACGTTCTCTCAAAAAGATAGAAACAAATAAATGGGTTTGATCGGGAGATTTAAGCGAAAGGACATCGACCAAGTTAACGACGACTTCTCCGATTTCTCCCTCTCGTCGCCGGCCCCCAAGATTCGCCGTCTGGATGCTGATTTACCCCCCATAATCGAGGAAGACTCCATCCCTGAGAACCACAAAAGAGCCATCGTTCTCTTTAACCCGAACCCACTTAAACATGGTAACACACCTCCCTTGTGTTCTTCTCCTTCTACCCCCATCTTCTCCCTCCATTCGGACCTCATCTCCGGCTTCAAGAGTACGTTTTCTCATCATTTCATTTCCCCCCCAATTCTTCCCTGTTTTGTGTTAATTTTTCCTGGTTCTGATCTTGGGGTTTGAAATTTTGTCGTGCAGACCAATTCCTACGGGCAACCGACACGAAATCAGCCGAAACAGAAGAGAAGAAGAAGGAAAACGATGGGTGTTTAGCTGTTGTTCCATGGGTTCCTTGTCAGATCCCATCAGTGGAAAGAAGAGATTTTAGCTGTGTTCCATGGGTTCCTTGTCAGATCCCATCAGTGGAAAGAAGAGATGGGGAGCAGGAAGTTGCAGTTGCAGAGTCGATGGAAACAGATGAAATGGAGGTAGAGGAGAAAGAAAGCATGCAGGAAGAGGAAGGGGAGGGATACCAATTTGAAGGGTTGAAGCCAAGAGAGGCCTTACATCATCACTGGGGGCCGCAGCTGCAGCAGCAACATTGCATGCTCCCACAGCCTCCTCAAAACCCTTTCACTCCAATCAGCTGGTCTGATTGATGAACTTTTAATGGTGGGGGAAATTTAGTGTAGTTTTGTTTTGTGTAAATGTTGGGGCCAAGGAATGAGATGGGTGAAAGGAGGCTCGGGGCTTCCCTGGTTTTGCTTGCCTTCTAAAATTATCCATTCATTTCTGAGAATACCCAAAGTTTAGAGGGGCGTAAATGGTTGTAATTGTGCTTGAAATCCTTGATGGAGATGGTGGGAATGGGACGTATCTTCTCTTTTGGTAATTGAGGCTAAAGATGCAGTGCCTTTTATTTTGATCACGCTTGTATTTCAGCTCTTGCCATCCCCATTGTATGCATTGAATCACAACTATATTTTAGTTTTGATCGCTAAGTAACAATACCAACCCCTTACACCTCAGTTCGTTAGGAAGAAAAGGATGCACGTTATTTATGTTTGTTTGTTAAATTAAATAAATAAATATGAATATTTTTTTATATTTATTTAATAAGCGAATAAATAAGAGTATGCTCAATTCGTGTATTTATCAATAAACATGGGTCAATTCTCCTCATACCAATGTCGAACATGAACAGACCACCAACACAGTGAAATAAATAGGGGATATGCCAGGAAACAGTCAGAAAAATGAAAACCAAATTAGAGACAATCCTGACAAGGTCAAGACATGCATGGAAACAGGAGGGGCATGATTTTGTGGACCTTACGAACTGGGAGAAGAGTGGAGAAAGAAACCTAGTGCTTCAGTTTGATGGGTTACAAGGTGGTTGTCTCATAATCAGGCGGTGTTAAAAAAGATGTTAACAGTGGTCTCTCACACACAGACACACTTATCTTCACAATCTTCACCTTTCTATACTGTTGTCAGTTAGTACAACTTTTTACCATGGACCGATCCATAGTTCCTGCATCACAATCGATCCTGATTAAGAATGCTACGGTCAGGAACTACCTCATGCACCAAGAATACTACCTCTAATAAACCCTAGTCTACAAAGACACAATTACAAAGGTTTCTGCACATTCACATTCACATTCACATTCACACAATTACAAGTCATGCAGCAGTGGTAACAAAACAGGGCAAAAGTGAAAAATTTGCTGCCTAATTATATGCACCAATTCCACAGGAAAAGCAAATACAACCCTTCAAGATCTCTCCATGTATTCTTTCAAACAATGATAACCTTATAGCTAATAACATATACAAAAGCTATTGATGCAAGAAAGGATTTCTCCAAATACATGAGATCAATACAACATTAGGTACTAATTTGTAGGTCTAAGAAACACAACAAGACGACTACTGATGACAATTGCACTATGTAACAAATAACGTACCAAGTGAAGTCAAGAACAGAACCATGGAATCCGTAGAAACGAAAAATTCAAAACAAAGTAAATATATGACGGGGGATCTGTACATAAGGCGGAGCAGGAGAAGGGAGAATTGGCTCTAGACAGGGGGGATGTTAGAGAAGGAGAAGCCTTTGTATCCTTTATACGCATAATACGCAATCCTCGTATAATAGAATCCTGGGATGAACAAAATGGATCCGAGTATCGCGAAGAAAAGCCTTGGAGGAAACAATCAAACGCAGAAATCAGCTAATTAATCAGCCTTACATAGAATAAAGCTTTTATTCAGAGTTAAAGAAAGACCCATGGGCTCGGCCGCCGCCAACTCTGTTGACGGTCATGAAGATTCCGAAGATGTCACATCCTAATTTAGAGACTATATTTTATTAATTTAATTTAAATTTAAAGGATTAAATTGAAATTTTTAGAAACTTGTATCTCAGTTTCAAAACTCTAGTAAATTTAGGGACTTAATCCTAAATTTTCTCATTCTTCCTTATTAGTGAAAAATAAACCCCCGATCGGATGCAAAAAAAACCCTAAATTTCCCCCATAAATCCCTAGCCTGGTCGTTCCCCTCCCACTTTTTAATCCCAAATTCATCGTCGTCCGACCACCGTTCGACTTGTCGTTGCTACCATCGTGCTCGCCGACGATCGACGACCAAATCCCGACCACCATTTCTTCGTGGGACGACACCGTTCGCCGTAAAACCCGTCGTAAAGCTTCGTCGTCTCCACCCCCGATCGCCTTGGTTTTACGTCGATTTCGACCAAACCGTCGATCGTCGTGTCTCACCAACACCAGCATTGTGTTCCCCGACCAGTTTCGATCAAAACCCGACTGGGTTCGTCGCCTATTGTCGTCATTTTCGTCGACTGTCGGTGTAGGTAAGCGTTTCAGTCCTATTCTATAATTTTGATGGATTTGGCTGAATGTTGATGTTGTTTGGATCAATTTTGTCAAGTACATGAACAGGGTGTAATTGGTCGGTGGAAGCGAGCCTCGTCGCCGTCGAATGCGCCACCACTCGCAGGCAGTGAACGTGGAGCTCTCCTACCGGTCCAGCCGGACCGAACCGGTCCAGTCAAACCATTCTGTATCGGGTCTATTTGACCCGATCGAGTCAACTTGGACTGAGTCAACTCGTCCGAGTCAACCCGTTGACTTTGATCGAAAAGTTAAAATTTTCAAAAAGTCATATTTTATATTTTTTTGATGTCCTGAGTCCGAATTCGAAGTTCGTTTTGTCAATTTCGCACTCGGTAAGCTGTTTTTAGTGTTTTATCTTTGGATTCAATTTGGTTTTCCGATTAAGTTCAGTTTCTAAATTAAATTCGATTGTCATGTATCCGAGGATTCATGGTTAATGGATCCTTGAAGCAGTTTCTACGGAAGAAAGACAGGTAACCATGTTAATATCTAAGTGTTCAGTTGCCTTTTGAGCATCTTCACTGCAGTTTGTTTCGGAATGAATTTTGTTTCATGCTGTTGTTGGCCTTAACATGCACCCCTTTTGTTTCATAGCCAGATTAAACAAGCCAGAATGTAATATGTTCTGAAGTAATATGTGTGACATGATAATGGTATTGAGCAGGACTATTGATCGTCGTAAGAGACTCATCATAGCCATGGATGCTGCATTTGGAATGGAGTATTTGCGTGGAAAGAACATTGTACATTTTGATTTGAAATGTGAAAATCTGTTGGTAAATATGAGAGATCCACAGCGTCCAGTGTGCAAGGTTTGCCGTCTTTTAAATTGTTTCTAGAACTTAAACTTTAAGTTGCGCGCTACATATGGAGAGGAGAAAAAGGGGTGGGGGATTGTTTGGTAAACTTTTGTTCATCCAGAGTTTCTTGAAAACTCTGGATGTTATTGTCACCTTGTTGCAATTTCTTCTATGGTGGAAGCTTGGTATGAGTTTCATCTTTAGCGTAGGCTCTTTTAATATATTTTCTTTCAAGCATATTACTATAACTCTTCCTATAACGGCCAACGGAGTTGGAAATCACGCAATGCACGTGTACCTTTTTAGATTGGTGATTTAGGCTTGTCAAAGGTTAGACAGCATACATTCGTTTCTGGAGGGGTTCGTGGAACTCTACCGTGGATGGCACCTGAGCTTTTGAGTGGTAAAAGTAACATGGTATCTGAAAAGGTAATGCTATATACCGAGTGTAAAAAATAAGGGACAGATGCAGTTGTTTTGAACCTGAGTTCTTTGTTTCCTTTGCTGCTTAAGGTTTATTTGGCCAGATTAACTTTTTTTTTCGTGTTTCATCTATGTCTGTGAGTCAGATTGATGTCTACTCTTTTGGGATCGTTATGTGGAAGTTACTTACTGGTGAAGAACCATATGCCGATATGCATTGTGCTTCTATAATCGGTAAGTGTCATAAGTAGTGCCTCAAAGTTGAGCCTCCATCATTGATTGTAAAAGCAGTGGCCTCATCAAAATATTGTAAACTTTTCAAGTTCTAAAACTTACAGTGTTATTGAAGTACGGTTCGGTTGTTAGCGATTTTAGCATTGCTATTTACTGATTAACTAGCAGGTAGTTCCCAAAAGAGAATTAAGAAGGCGACTTCTGTTCATTTATTTGTTTTCTTTTGTTTGTAGGTCTAAGTCTGACAAAGTTTCTTTTGTTCTCCTATATATGAATTGATCTCTGTTTTCAATTATATCTGAAAATAAGCACTAAATTGTTTGTTATTTGACATGGATGATGGAAGAGAAAATCAATAGTCGGATGGATGAGTAAGGACTTCAAACTTTATTCAATATAGTTCAGACTTTGAAGGATCTTTTATAATTTGATGGTCTCTGTTCAACTTGTATGCATGTTTTTAGACTTTATATTGACGCTTAGCATGAACTCCGGTAATGGATTTTTTAACTGCAATCACCTCCAAAATCGCATTCTTTGAACATGAAGGGGGAATCGTAAACGACTCTTTACGTCCAACAATACCAGTATGGTGTGGTCCAGAGTGGAAGGCTTTGATGGAGCAGTGTTGGGCCTCTGATCCTGGACAGACACCTTCGTTTTCTGAAATATCTCAGAAGTTGAGGAACATGGCGGCAGCTATAAATGTAAAATAAAGGTAAACCCGAAGCTAAGATTTAAACTTTTCCGCCATCATACAGGGGAAAAAATAAATAAAAAGAGCATTAATGCAGTTTAAGGCCATCCACTGCTTAGGCTAATAATACACTGCTATACCATTCATATGCCTGGGTTACTAGTACTGCCACTGGTTCTAAAGAGTGCAAATATGTACACTCTGACCTGTGGGAGGCCGCATGATATGCAAAGAAGAGCCGTGAAAGCTTCGGTTATTGCAATTGAAGTATTAAATTTGGCTCGAAACGGTTTCTTATGATCATTAACATGTTTCGACTTCCCCACTCAGGACTTTTGCTATTCTGATAGCCATCAAAGCTGGAAGTACTTGGCCAAATGCATCTGCCATGTGAGGTGGCGCTTCTTTTTGTTTTCCTTTATAAGATGCATATACATTTATGGTAACCAATAATGCACATAGCTTAAGAACCAAGACAAACTAGGGACGATATGTTATTAATCAATTTTGCCCTTATTATTTATGTTATTAGTGAACAAAGAGCTGATGTATACGCTGTATTATTTCTTTCTTCAGTTGTATATGATTTTAACTTTGTTCTTACGTGTCAATGGAAGGAAAAAGTGCATGCACCATGCAGACCTGTAATGTAGGGTTTTTTTGTTTGTTTAATTGGTTGGGTTGCTTTTGGTTGTTGGGAAAAGGCTCAGCAAAACTGAAAATAGTTCTAAATACCTGGAAATGGAATATTCTCTTATAAAATACTCTGATTGATTGGTGTATACTATTTATTTGTGATGATGTTTTGACCTTAAATCTTTAAAAAAAAATGTTTTGACCTTAAAAACAATTTTAATATCTTATCTTAAATAAATTATGCTCATATCATTTATTGTATTTTCTCATGTATAATAAATTATGATTCTATTTTATTTTAAATATATATTTAAATAGAGAGTATTGTATGCGAATAAATGTATATAATTTATTTTTTTAAATAAAATCTTAATATATTTTAATATCTTACATTTTTTTTTGAAAAAATCAATAAATAAATGTTAATATTATTAATAATTTATTTTTTTTAAATAAAATCTTAATATATTATATTTTCGAGTTCCTCATGAACTTTTCAAGTTGAGTATCAAATAATTTATTTCGGTTTCTTAAGAACTCGATTCGAGCTTGAGTTCAAATCAAGTTAATTTAAGTCGAATATTTATTGAACTTTGATCAAATCTATATCGAATAATTCACAATCTATCTCGTTCCATTTACCGTTCTAGCGGAGTGTCGTCGAAGAAGAAACTCAAAACCAGCAGGGAAAAGAAGGAAAATTCAACCACTTCTCAACAAAAGTGCTCTTCTGTAAGATTTTTATCATTTCAATCGACCATTTTCCTATTTTTGTAGAAACAAGACAAGAACAACGATTTGGCAAATGATACCCAAACGGAAGACACCAACACTCGAGGAATATGCTTTCCCAGAGAACCTCAACGGATGTTCATATTCAACTCTTGACATAACCAAGAGTTGGTTTGTTACTTAAAACTTCTACCAGTGTTTTGAAATTTTCAACTGAGCTCCCATTAGGCTTTACTGCATTGTAAGCCAGCTCTTTCTGAACTCCAATTTTTTCTTTCATCTTCTTCCCTTGTTCGCTGCACAATGTCGTCTTCAACGCTTTCATTACTCCTTCTTTCGTCAATGTTCCCCCCTCTAATCCCAATCCGAATCCCCATACAGTCTCCACAGTTCGAGTGTTCAATCCTTGGTCTCCGAAAAACGGCCTTAAAATCATCGGCACACCTCCGACGATACTTTCCAGGATCGAATTCCATCCGCCGTGGCTTACGAATGCTCCGACCGATGGATGTTCCAATATTTTCTGCTGAGGAGCCCATGGAACTATCTTCCCTTTCGAGCTTGTTCTTTCCAGGAACCCTGGTGGCAACTGCTTCTCGGGGCTCCCTCTGTATGACCAAAGAAATGGGAACTCGCTTTCCTCCAGGGCTTCGCATAATGCTTGTAGCTCGTGGGGCGGTGGTGTTATCACGCTTCCGAAGCTGATGTACACCACCGACGCGTGTTCGCACTTGCTCAGCCAGTCCAAGCAGCTGTGCGAGTCGTCCACGGTGACACTGGAGACTGTTGATACTAGATTGAAGGGACCGACGTTGAGGTACATTTTGAATCTTAATTTAAGCATGTTGAAGATTGTGTTATCCAAGTCTTCGTAGGAGTTAGCGGCGATTGCGGCGGCACGCGGCAGTGCGAGTCTCGTTTTATGCAACAGTGCTGGTATGGCATCATTAAAGTCCCCGGAGGTTATTCCAGCGGGTAAATCGGCAACACGTATACCGGAAAAATCTGAAAGAAAATCAAGCGCCTTGTCTTGTGGACCTGAAACATTAAGAGCATTCATATTAGTCTCATGTGTGGATCATCAAATATCAAGAAACACATAAAACATTAATGTATGTATTTATGTATGTATTCGTACCATTATTTCCTACATGTTGGCGAATAAGATCAGTCTCAACATGAACAAAAAGAGCCCTAGGGCCGGCCGTCCAAAACGCCATCCACGGGACGTTCAGTTCATCGGCAATATCAGCCCCGAACGAGTAAAACGCATCCGTTATCAAACAATCAACCTGCTTACCAATTTCAGCCACGACTTCATCCAAAACCTCCGTGAAATTCCCCGGTACCGCCTGAAGGAAATACTCAACAGGCTCGTGTGGATTACCCCTAAACACATATCCCTCCGGCAATCCATCCCTCACATTAAAAGGCTTAACCTTTTCGAGCTTCATCGGAAACGTCGAACCGTTCGATTGTTGGGTGCTGAGGAAGGAAAACACGGCGTCGGGGCAAGCATCCGATAGCCAACGGATGAGGTTGAGAAGAGGGGCGGCATGTGTGCCGAAGGGGAAAGCCATTACAGCTATGTGTTTAGAAGCATTCTTGTAAACCTCCTCCATTTGGATTATCTTCTTTATTCTCTCTTCAAAATACACCACCCTGGGATTTTTTTTCTTGCTTTTCTGGTACAAGATTGTGAGATATGAGAATTAGATGAGAAGTAGGGTTCTTAAATTAAGAAAGGAAACGTAAAAACCAAAGAGAAACAAATTAGTCGAGGCTGATAATTCGCATTGGCATGGGGACTTTATACGATAATGAACGGTTTTAGAAGCAACCGTCTTTTTCTGTTGCATACGTGTTAGTTGTTGGGTAGAAATTTATTTTGCTTTTACTTATTAATTCCCTAATTATTAAAAGTTGTAAATTGATCCCTCGATTATAGGGTATTATTTTGTTTAGTCCATCGACTATTAAATGTTACGAAATGATCATGTGACTATTCATATGTTCTAAACTCATCTTTTTCATTTAAAAAATAGACGATAATCTGAGCTTGATGTTAACTTGTTGATACATATGTGATAGAAATATGATCATATAATCTCAAATGACTATCATATCTTAATTAGCATGTTAACATCCAACTTAGACGATCAACGATTTTTTAATGAAAAATGATAAGTTTGAAACAATATGAATAGTCAAGTGACCATTTTATAACTTGTAATAGCCGAGGGACTTAATAAAACAATATCTTATAGAAGAAATACTATTTTTAACTTTTAATAATCGAGAGACTCAACAAAATAACATCTTACATTCGAAATTATTTGTATATTTTACCCTTAATATTATTTTGTTAAGTAAAATGGATGAAACTAATTTCAAACTTATAAAAATTTATATTTTTGATTCACTATTCATAATAAATAATCTTTCGATATTTGTTACATGTTAAAAATTAAAATAAAATAAAATTAATTAAACAACGGAATTAACTGAAATTGTTTCATTTCAACTCATTTATATTTCCTTATTTTTCGGTTTAATTAACACCATGAGACAAATTAAAATTTTTAATTCAATTCAATTAATGATCAAATTAACGAAATTTAAACTTTGAGTCAGTTTTATAACTTTTCTCGCTAATTGAAGTTTGATTGATAGAAGCAGTGCCAGTACACCATAATATAATAAAGCACTTCGAACGGTTACGCCACAAACTAAAAATAAAAAGGGTAAACTACACATTTAGTATTTAAATTATCAGTTTTAGTTCGTGTTAGTATCTAAACTTTTAATTTTTTCAAAACCATACCTAAAGTTTAATTTTTGTTTCATTTTAGTACCCACTATTAAAAATTTAACGCATTTAGTATCTAAACTATCAGTTTTGGTCTGTTTTAGTATCTAAACTTTAAAAAAAAATCAAGATTTAACGTTAAATTTTGAACAAGGGTATTAAAATAAAACAAAAACTAAACTTTAGGTATAGTTTTGAAAAATTAAAAGTTTAGATATTAAACAAACCGAAATTGATAGTTTAGGTACTAAGCACGTAATTTACCCAATAAAAAATAAAAATTGGTAGCTGGCATTTTAGATGGTCGTTAGACTATCTATATTTTACTAACGTAGCACGAAAAAATAGGGGTGCAATTGAAAAAAAGTAAAGGTTAGAAATATTTTTGCTATTATACTTTCTTAATTTTATTTATAATTTTATCTCATCGTTACATAAAATAATTACAAAATGTTATTTAATAATCGATTACAAGATATGTAAATCTTTTATCATTCTAGTTATGATCATTGAATAAAATTTTTATAAAATAATATATTTTACCTATATTGAATATAATAATTTTTTGTATTTATTAATTTAAACTCGTGTGTAGCATGTTATATAGCATGAATTAAGTGATTTTGATGGTAAATAAATTGTTGTTATTCTTTGAGGCCTCGGGTTAAAACATTAGGTAGGGTGCTTATTGAGAGAGTCGATCACGAGTTGGGCAGTGCTCAATTAGTGATCGTTAAAAAAATTTGCCGCTCGACTCAACTCGTTGTAATACCCCAAATTTTGACTAGTGACTAAAATGTAAGTTTTGAAAGTTTGAGGGCTAAAATATAAACTTTGTAAAAGTTTAGGGACTAAAAATATAATTTTAAAAGGTTATAGATTTTAGCCATAAATTAACAGATTATCCTAAAACAAGAATTTTTGTGGAAATTAGATTTTTTTGTACGGAATTTGTGTTAAAAGTTATAAAGCGATAAAGTTTGGTATTGAAATCGGATAATTGGATCGAACCGGAATTTTATGAAAATTTGAAGGATGTTAGAAAATGGTTGGAAA